TACATGTAGAGGGAATTCAAGACATCCACTTTGACAGATGCTAGTATACATGGCGATACACGTACATGTAGAGGGAATTCAAGACATCCACTTTGACAGATGCTAGTATACATGGCGATACATGTACATGTAGAGGGAATTCAAGACATCCACTTTGACAGATCCTAGTATACATGGCGATACACGTACATGTAGAGGGAATTCAAGACATCCACTTTGACAGATCCTAGTATACATGGCGATACACGTACATGTAGAGGGAATTCAAGACATCCACTTTGACAGATGCTAGTATACATGGCGATACATGTACATGTAGAGGGAATTCAAGACATCCACTTTGACAGATGCTAGTATACATGGCGATACACGTACATGCATGTAGAGGGAATTCAAGACATCCACTTTGACAGATCCTAGTATACATGGCGATACACGTACATGTAGAGGGAATTCAAGACATCCACTTTGACAGATCCTAGTATACATGGCGATACACGTACATGTAGAGGGAATTCAAGACATCCACTTTGACAGATGCTAGTATACATGGCGATACATGTACATGTAGAGGGAATTCAAGACATCCACTTTGACAAATCCTAGTATACATGGCGATACACGTACATGTAGAGGGAATTCAAGACATCCACTTTGACAGATCCTAGTATACATGGCGATACACGTACATGTAGAGGGAATTCAAGACATCCACTTTGACAGATGCTAGTATACATGGCGATACACGTACATGTAGAGGGAATTCAAGACATCCACTTTGACAGATGCTAGTATACATGGCGATACATGTACATGTAGAGGGAATTCAAGACATCCACTTTGACAGATGCTAGTATACATGGCGATACACGTACATGCATGTAGAGGGAATTCAAGACATCCACTTTGACAGATGCTAGTATACATGGCGATACACGTACATGTAGAGGGAATTCAAGACATCCACTTTGACAGATCCTAGTATACATGGCGATACACGTACATGTAGAGGGAATTCAAGACATCCACTTTGACAGATCCTAGTATACATGGCGATACACGTACATGTAGAGGGAATTCAAGACATCCACTTTGACAGATGCTAGTATACATGGCGATACATGTACATGTAGAGGGAATTCAAGACATCCACTTTGACAGATCCTAGTATACATGGCGATACACGTACATGTAGAGGGAATTCAAGACATCCACTTTGACAGATGCTAGTATACATGGTGATACACGTACATGTAGAGGGAATTCAAGACATCCACTTTGACAGATGCTCGTATACATGGCGATACACGTACATGTAGAGGGAATTCAAGACATCCACTTTGACAGATCCTAGTATACATGGCGATACACGTACATGTAGAGGGAATTCAAGACATCCACTTTGACAGATCCTAGTATATATGGCGATACACGTACATGTAGAGGGAATTCAAGACATCCACTTTGACAGATGCTAGTATACATGGCGATACACGTACATGTAGAGTGAATTCAAGACATCCACTTTGACAAATCCTAGTATACATGGCGATACACGTACATGTAGAGGGAATTCAAGACATCCACTTTGACAGATGCTAGTATACATGGCGATACACGTACATGCATGTAGAGGGAATTCAAGACATCCACTTTGACAGATCCTAGTATATATGGCGATACACGTACATGTAGAGGGAATTCAAGACATCCACTTTGACAGATCCTAGTATACATGGCGATACATGTACATGTAGAGGGAATTCAAAACATCCACTTTGACAGATCCTAGTATACATGGCGATACACGTACATGTAGAGGGAATTCAAGACATCCACTTTGACAGATGCTAGTATACATGGCGATACATGTACATGTAGAGGGAATTCAAGACATCCACTTTGACAGATCCTAGTATACATGGCGATACACGTACATGTAGAGGGAATTCAAGACATCCACTTTGACAGATGCTAGTATACATGGCGATACACGTACATGCATGTAGAGGGAATTCAAGACATCCACTTTGACAAATCCTAGTATACATGGCGATACATGTACATGTAGAGGGAATTCAAGACATCCACTTTGACAGATCCTAGTATACATGGCGATACATGTACATGTAGAGGGAATTCAAGACATCCACTTTGACAGATGCTAGTATACATGGCGATACATGTACATGTAGAGGGAATTCAAGACATCCACTTTGACAGATGCTAGTATACATGGCGATACACGTACATGTAGAGGGAATTCAAGACATCCACTTTGACAGATCCTAGTATACATGGCGATACACGTACATGTAGAGGGAATTCAAGACATCCACTTTGACAGATCCTAGTATATATGGCGATACACGTACATGTAGAGGGAATTCAAGACATCCACTTTGACAGATCCTAGTATACATGGCGATACATGTACATGTAGAGGGAATTCAAGACATCCACTTTGACAGATCCTAGTATACATGGCGATACACGTACATGTAGAGGGAATTCAAGACATCCACTTTGACAGATGCTAGTATACATGGCGATACACGTACATGCATGTAGAGGGAATTCAAGACATCCACTTTGACAAATCCTAGTATACACGGCGATACATGTACATGTAGAGGGAATTCAAGACATCCACTTTGACAGATCCTAGTATACATGGTGATACACGTACATGTAGAGGGAATTCAAGACATCCACTTTGACAGATGCTAGTATACATGGCGATACACGTACATGTAGAGGGAATTCAAGACATCCACTTTGACAAATCCTAGTATACATGGCGATACACGTACATGTAGAGGGAATTCAAGACATCCACTTTGACAGATCCTAGTATACATGGCGATACACGTACATGTAGAGGGAATTCAAGACATCCACTTTGACAGATGCTAGTATACATGGCGATACACGTACATGTAGAGGGAATTCAAGACATCCACTTTGACAAATCCTAGTATACATGGCGATACACGTACATGTAGAGGGAATTCAAGACATCCACTTTGACAGATGCTAGTATACATGGCGATACACGTACATGTAGAGGGAATTCAAGACATCCACTTTGACAGATGCTCGTATATACGGCGATACACGTACATGTAGAGGGAATTCAAGACATCCACTTTGACAGATGCTAGTATACATGGCGATACACGTACATGTAGAGGGAATTCAAGACATCCACTTTGACAGATCCTAGTATACATGGCGATACACGTACATGTAGAGGGAATTCAAGACATCCACTTTGACAGATGCTAGTATACATGGCGATACACGTACATGCATGTAGAGGGAATTCAAGACATCCACTTTGACAAATCCTAGTATACATGGCGATACATGTACATGTAGAGGGAATTCAAGACATCCACTTTGACAGATCCTAGTATACATGGCGATACACGTACATGTAGAGGGAATTCAAGACATCCACTTTGACAGATCCTAGTATACATGGCGATACATGTACATGTAGAGGGAATTCAAGACATCCACTTTGACAAATCCTAGTATACATGGCGATACATGTACATGTAGAGGGAATTCAAGACATCCACTTTGACAAATCCTAGTATACATGGCGATACACGTACATGTAGAGGGAATTCAAGACATCCACTTTGACAGATGCTAGTATACATGGCGATACATGTACATGTAGAGGGAATTCAAGACATCCACTTTGACAGATCCTAGTATACATGGCGATACACGTACATGCATGTAGAGGGAATTCAAGACATCCACTTTGACAGATCCTAGTATATATGGCGATACATGTACATGTAGAGGGAATTCAAGACATCCACTTTGACAGATCCTAGTATACATGGCGATACACGTACATGTAGAGGGAATTCAAGACATCCACTTTGACAGATCCTAGTATACATGGCGATACACGTACATGCATGTAGAGGGAATTCAAGACATCCACTTTGACAGATGCTAGTATACATGGCGATACACGTACATGCATGTAGAGGGAATTCAAGACATCCACTTTGACAGATGCTAGTATATATGGCGATACATGTACATGTAGAGGGAATTCAAGACATCCACTTTGACAGATCCTAGTATACATGGCGATACACGTACATGCATGTAGAGGGAATTCAAGACATCCACTTTGACAGATGCTAGTATACATGGCGATACATGTACATGTAGAGGGAATTCAAGACATCCACTTTGACAGATCCTAGTATATATGGCGATACATGTACATGTAGAGGGAATTCAAGACATCCACTTTGACAAATCCTAGTATACATGGTGATACATGTACATGTAGAGGGAATTCAAGACATCCACTTTGACAGATGCTAGTATATATGGCGATACATGTACATGTAGAGGGAATTCAAGACATCCACTTTGACAGATGCTAGTATACATGGCGATACATGTACATGTAGAGGGAATTCAAGACATCCACTTTGACAGATGCTAGTATACATGGCGATACATGTACATGTAGAGGGAATTCAAGACATCCACTTTGACAGATGCTAGTATACATGGCGATACATGTACATGTAGAGGGAATTCAAGACATCCACTTTGACAGATGCTAGTATACATGGCGATACACGTACATGTAGAGGGAATTCAAGACATCCACTTTGACAGATCCTAGTATACATGGCGATACACGTACATGTAGAGGGAATTCACAAGGACTGGAAGAAGGGTTTGGTGCAACCGCGAATTTGACTCAACGAGGTTTGACTGTATGTGCCGAGTAGAACCTTCTGTTTAAATAGATCTATTGTGATTCAACACCGGTATTTTTAAAGACTGAGGTAAATAACTACCCTGTGTAAATATAGATTATTATGTAATATAGAAAAGGCAATACATATCAGTATACGTATGGCAGCGCGAACCTGTGTGCTACCTTGCCAGTATTTGAAGCAATGTTCTTCTCCTGGCGCTACAGGAGTAGAAGTGTCGTATAATCTCACCCCGAGACTCCCGCTGCCGCTAGTCACTTCGTGTGTGCTCCACAACCGACAAGTTGCAGTTGTGATCTAGGACGAGAAACAACGCCTGAACGTTCCTAACAACAATGAAACACTGACTTGCAAAGTTACCGTTATCTGAAACTCACTACCACGTGATATTCACACACATAGGACTCACTCACTCTCAACCAGCAGACGGCAGCATTCTGCGACATGGACAATCTAGCGAAGGGAGACAACTCTGTTTTGACGCGTGGTAGCACAACAATCAGGCCAGTCTAAAGGTCATTCGTTGATTCGAGAGAGTGAGTGAGTTAAAATTTTAACGTCGCATCGGCCATTCGTGATTCGAAGGGTCTGACGACTTGCTACGATGAAGATTATACATCTCGCCTAGTGAATCTACTTTTCTTCTTGAAGGATGAAGCGATGACGTTATATAGTCCATTAGCACTCTTCCCAGTAATTCTTGTGTTCCCACGAACGAGAACAATGGGCCAACTTGTGAATAATAATAATAATAATAATAATAATAATAATAATAATAATAATTACAGCAATAAGTAAATAACTAAAGATACAATAAAATTATTGTGCTATAAATTCTATCTAGAAAATGTATTAATGTATCAGAAAATCGGTGGGACATAAAGTGTATGTGTAATAATATCTCTATAATATGCCTATGACCTGACGTCATGGTGTCTATATGTTAGAGTCAATGTGTACAATGACTTAAATTTTCACTTAGGCAATTTACAAAACGCCAAAATATTTCAGTCATTTTCAATTATTTTTCCGTCAGATTGACTAAAAGTTCTTAAGAAGTTTTACAGATTTTGTATCGAGATTAGCTATGTTTTCAGCTACAGCTACTAAACCAGATATTCTTCTATTGAAAACAGTTAGCCTAAATCTTAACGAAGTAATTTTTGTGGCAGGCAGTTTCTTTTTTTTCATCAACCTGAAGTATAATTAATTATTTTTTTCACGAAATGTCGTGAACAATTTTCTCCTCTCCCCCCCCCCCCCCCCCCCCAATTTTCTCCTTCCCCCCCCCCCCCCCCCCATTGACAGTATGCCCAATGCAGTTTTACTAGATGTTACAATTGCCGCCGTCATTTATATGTACTTAATGCTTACGTCTATGCATATATTTTTTACAGTATGCTTGTCGATAGCCTGGATTGGAATGTCAGTGGTGGACCAATTCTGACGCAGCTGTTTGAAAGGGAAATTGGATTGCAAACTAGGAGTTCACGAAGATTGGAAACAAGTTATCTTTGTCTGTCTCTAACGAAACTTTTTCTGTCAGAACCAGATGATGACTTGCAATGGGAAATCGTTTTCCTTTTAATGAACCTGGTGACTAATAACTCCCATTTTGGTGTGATGTCTGCCCACATTTTGAAGGACATTGTCTCGTCGTATGAGAATCTAGAGGAACCTCAATCTGTGCTTCAATGTGCTCTGCTTTATTTGAAAAAGATCGAACCACTTGCAACCTGTGACGACGTCCATGTTTGCCACTTAATAGAGTCTAGTGTGGAAGATTTCAGAAATTACTAGTGAGCATGAGCGACATGGTTCGTGAGAGGAGAAGAAAAACGGAACGGGGCAAAAACTTCGATGAGTTATTTGATGTTTCGAAGGCTGTTTCTTATGGGCAGTCAGTCGGGAGCGTCGCTAGTGACTTCGATCTACGTCACGTTACTCTGGCGCGCCATTGCAACAAAATTAAACTCAGTAAACCAGATCAACCTCCTCCAGAAATGGGATATAAACCTCACAACAAGGTATTTTCGAACGAAAACGAAATGGAACTTGTCAAATACCTGAAGCGCGCAGCAGATATATATTACGGATTAACCCTAAAAGATGTTAGGAAATTACCCTTTGAATGTGCAGTAGCGCATGGATTAAAATGTCCAGACGTTTGGAATGTGACCAAAATGGCGGACAGTGACTGGTTCGCAGCATTTATGAAGTGTAACAGCACACTAGCAATAAGAAAACCACAAGCCACTAGTCTGGCACGAGCTACTTCGTTCAACAAAGCAACTGTCGGCGAATTCTTTGACAATCTTGCTAAGATGCTGGAACTACCACTTTCCACCACAAAACTTCTACAACATGGACGAACCTGGTTTTACAACCGTACAGCGTCCGAATCACGTTATTGCCGAAAAAGGAAAGAAGCAAGTCGGCCCTCTGACATCACAAGAGAGGGGAACATTGGTCACATGCACAGTAGCAATTAATGCAAATGGGAACAGCATACCTCCCATGTTAATCTTCCCGAGAAAAAACTCCCTACGACGTTTTATAAGAGATGGACCGCCTGGATGTATGGGAACTGCGAATGGTTCAGGGTGGATCCAAGAAGACGACTACGTAGAATTTCTAAAGCACTTTCACAGCCATGCTAAACCAAGTAAAGACAACCCAGTTCTTCTCATACCATGATTCTCACCGTTCCATTCGATCTCGGAATTTCTGCAAAGAAATGGGCATTGTACTTCTTTCACTTCCGCCGCATACGTCCCATAAACTGCAGCCGCTTGACAGAGCCGTCTTTGGTCCCTTTAAAAAGGCTTCAAGCAGATGTTGCGATTCCTGGATGCTAAACCGTCCTGGTCAAACAATGACCATTTACAACATTCCTGAGATTGTCCGTGAAGCATTGGCCTTGGCGGCTACACCAAACAATATTAGGTCTGGACTTCGATGTACTGGGATTGTCCGTGAAGCATTGGCCTTGGCGGCTACACCAAACAATATTAGGTCTGGACTTCGATGTACTGGGATTGTCCGTGAAGCATTAGCCTTGGCGGCTACACCAAACAATATTAGGTCTGGACTTCGATGTACTGGGATTGTCCGTGAAGCATTGGCCTTGGCGGCTACACCAAACAATATTAGGTCTGGATTTCGATGTACTGAGATTGTCCGTGAAGCATTGGCCTTGGCGGCTACACCAAACAATATTAGGTCTGGACTTCGATGTACTGAGATTGTCCGTGAAGCATTGGCCTTGGCGGCTACACCAAACAATATTATGTCTGGACTTCGATGTACTGAGATTGTCCGTGAAGCATTGGCCTTGGCGGCTACACCAAACAATATTATGTCTGGACTTCGATGTACTGGGATTGTCCGTGAAGCATTGGCCTTGGCGGCTACACCAAACAATATTATGTCTGGACTTCGATGTACTGAGATTGTCCGTGAAGCATTGGCCTTGGCGGCTACACCAAACAATATTATGTCTGGACTTCGATGTACTGGGATTGTCCGTGAAGCATTGGCCTTGGCGGCTACACCAAACAATATTAGGTCTGGATTTCGATGTACTGAGATTGTCCGTGAAGCATTGGCCTTGGCGGCTACACCAAACAATATTATGTCTGGACTTCGATGTACTGGGATTGTCCGTGAAGCATTGGCCTTGGCGGCTACACCAAACAATATTAGGTCTGGATTTCGATGTACTGAGATTGTCCGTGAAGCATTGGCCTTGGCGGCTACACCAAACAATATTATGTCTGGACTTCGATGTACTGAGATTGTCCGTGAAGCATTGGCCTTGGCGGCTACACCAAACAATATTAGGTCTGGATTTCGATGTACTGAGATTGTCCGTGAAGCATTGGCCTTGGCGGCTACACCAAACAATATTATGTCTGGACTTCGATGTACTGGGATTGTCCGTGAAGCATTGGCCTTGGCGGCTACACCAAACAATATTAGGTCTGGATTTCGATGTACTGAGATTGTCCGTGAAGCATTGGCCTTGGCGGCTACACCAAACAATATTATGTCTGGACTTCGATGTACTGGGATTGTCCGTGAGAATTGGCCTTGGCGGCTACACCAAACAATATTAGGTCTGGATTTCGATGTACTGAGATTGTCCGTGAAGCATTGGCCTTGGCGGCTACACCAAACAATATTATGTCTGGACTTCGATGTACTGGGATTGTCCGTGAAGCATTGGCCTTGGCGGCTACACCAAACAATATTAGGTCTGGATTTCGATGTACTGAGATTGTCCGTGAAGCATTGCCCTTGGCGGCTACACCAAACAATATTATGTCTGGACTTCGATGTACTGAGATTGTCCGTGAAGCATTGGCCTTGGCGGCTACACCAAACAATATTAGGTCTGGATTTCGATGTACTGAGATTGTCCGTGAAGCATTGGCCTTGGCGGCTACACCAAACAATATTATGTCTGGACTTCGATGTACTGGGATTGTCCGTGAAGCATTGGCCTTGGCGGCTACACCGAACAATATTAGGTCTGGATTTCGATGTACTGAGATTGTCCGTGAAGCATTGCCCTTGGCGGCTACACCAAACAATATTAGGTCTGGATTTCGATGTACTGAGATTGTCCGTGAAGCATTGGCCTTGGCGGCTACACCAAACAATATTATGTCTGGACTTCGATGTACTGGGATTGTGCCTTACAATAGGGACATATTTGAAGATGCAGAGTTTGCCCCATCCCACGTTACAGATCGATTTAATCCTATTGCAGATGGGCGTGCTTTTGGGATGCAACGAACTCTGGACAAACCCGTCCCTGATACAACAGCTGTTCCTGATGATCCTATCTGTCTGACTTCAGCTGTTCCTAGTGATCCTGTCCCTGGGACTTCAGCTGTTCCTGATGATCCTGTCCCTGGGACCTCAGCTGCTTCCGATGATCCTATCCCTGGGAGTTCAGGTCCAAATCAGTTCTCGCCAGAAGCTGTTAAACCATTTCCGAAGGCAAAGCCCCCTAAACAACAAAAGGGAGGACGAAAAAGAAAGAAATCCCAAATCCTTCCTGACACGCCTGTCCAGTGGATCTTGATAGAAGAGAAACTAAAGGCAAAAGAAAAGAAGAAACCAAAGCCAAAACTAAAACGTCTGGCGTTTAAACAAAGGAAGAAGCCCGTTAAGTACGATTCTGACAGTGATTCTGATTCAGAAATGAACATTTGCTTGGTTTGTTGTGACAAGTTTTCAAATAGTCGTCCAGGTGAAGATTGGGTACAATGTTCTTCATGCAAGTATTGGGCTCATGAAGAGTGTACATCAAAACAAGGATTCTTCACTTGTCAGAACTGTCAGGCAGATGATGGTGAAAGATGAATGTACA